TGTCGCTCCTCTATGCATGGTATGTGTTTCTTGGAGACTCGCATTTCTTGGAAATGCAAGAAGCTACAAACCGTTTCTAAGTCCTCCACAAGGGCCGGATATTGTGCTATGTTTGCCACTTGTGGCGAGTCTCTAGCTTCAGGATCTCCTCCAAGAACTTAGGGTCCACATCTCTCACTCCACTCCTCTCTATGCTGATAATATAAGTGTCATTCATATTGTTTCTAATGCAGTCTTTCATAAGTGCACCAAACATATTAAAGTTGACCATCACTTTATCCGAGACCAATTTCTTACAGGTGTGGTTTCTCCTTTTTCATGTTTTTTCTACACTTCAGCTTGCTGATCTCTTCATCAAGGGTACCCCTAGGACTCAGGCTTGTCATGAATTTCTCGTAAGCAAATTAATGTGGTTTCCACATTTAACGGGAGTATAAATAGCCTAACACATAAATGCTGTGTATGTATAGTCTTCTTTTTTGTGTACATTTCTTCTATTGTAATATAATAGTCCTTGTAGTATTGTATCATGCAATTATGATGTTGCCCAAGGCCAATTTTGTAATTGCACATATTGACCACCATGCGCCCTCTTAATAAAATACATCTTTGGGAGTGGGGATGTCCATTCAATGTTTCAATTTCTTTTCCTCTCTCTCAACTGAATCAAGCTTCTCACAAAGGATTAATCAGCTCTAGTTGTCAAATTAAACTACTAGTTCCATTCCATCCTAATCCAAATATGGTCTTAAACATAAAAGAAAGCCCAATGAACGAAGCTCCCGCCAACGTAGGGTCTGGAGAGGGACGGATGGATTAACATATGAAAGCTAAACTAGAAAAGGGAGACCGCTTTGACAGTTGGATTAACATCTTACCGACCTAAGGAGAAGATGATTTTCAACCACCATGAAGAGAGTTTCTCTACTAATTAAACATGAAAGGTTGCTTGAACTCTTCTTTAAGATTGAAAATAGACAACATATACTCTTATATAGTTAGGATAGGGTTCTTCTTTAGGGAAAGAAACCTTAATCTGCTTAACATGCAACCTTTTTGAAAGTGTAAGAAAAGAAAGAAAGAAAGAAGATTCTTGTAGGTCAAATTAAAAAGGACCACACTTGTATTTGGCTAGTGGTACCTTTAGGCGCCTTTAACTTTGTTGTATCAATCAGCATAAATAAGTGAGATGCCATTCATTCCCAAGATTTCAATATAAAGTTACAAATCCTTCCATGGACTAGGCTACCCTAAATTAATCCCTTTCTGTTTACGCATTCCCTAGCAAGAGAATTTTCTCGACTGTTGAGTGTTGGCAGACCTAGGTGCTCAGTTGAACAAGGAAACTGCCTCTTGATTCAATCAACATGTACACTTATTTTCTAATTATTCCCAGATTTAAAATTCTATACAAGTATCAACAAGGTGAAGATTTCCACCATGACCTCCAAACTTCCCTCTTGTGCATTACTCTACTAAATTTAACGAGCTTGTGACAGAACAATAATAACACCATTTCAAGGTTCTCCAAACTCTTCCTTCAGCAAGGCCTACAATAAATCTTCATCCCCTTAGCATATATCATTCCTTCACTTGATGTGAATGGCTGAATGGCTTGGACCAGTTCTACCCCTCTACGCTAAATATTATTTTCCCAAGCTATACCTATTTAAAACAATTACTGGAGGCATCACATTATCTATAGTGAGTCACTGCCTAATCGTTCTGTCCTCCCTTAATGCAACCAAAGTTGACTGCTAAAAATGATAAGTTCTAATCCAAGGTAAAGATGCATTTCATATATGCTAATAAATATACAATAGAAAATATATAGAACTTTAGAAATTTATTTTGAAAAGGTAAAGTAAATTTATTCAAAAAGGAAAAAGATACAACAAGGCCCAAACCAGAAGGATGGCCCAGAAACAACTCAAATTACAGACTCCACAAGGACTGAGTTCTAAACAGCTGAAGCAAGTTCAGAATCAGCTTGCTGCCTTGACAGAATAAGCACCCCAGAAAGACTTCCAACCACACTGAGACAAAACTTCAAAAGAAAAGCTCAAAAGAAAACAAATTTGCAGTGATACTTCATAAGCAATCTGCAGTAATGAAGAAAAATTAATCTTCAATCTCTCCAAGCTCTTATTTATCAAAAAAAAATCTCTCCAAACTCTTCACAGCCTCCCTCCTCRTCCCAACTTTCTCCTTCAAGAGCATCAGCAGCTTTCCTCAAACTTTCCTCCTTCCTCTTCCTTTCAAAGGCTTCAAAGGCCTTCGTAACAGGACTTTCCCCTCCAAAAAGAATAAGCCAATTTCCACTTCTCTATCAACCAAACTCTTCAAAGCCACACTTCCTTTCTTTTTCTTCTTCTCCAGCTCCACATTGGAAGAGGACTCAAAGCTCTTATTTTCATTCGAACAAACCAAACTCTCTCCCAACCCAACCTTTCTCAGATCATCATCATCTAGGGAGATTGCCAAATGAATCTTGCTCCCATCCCAACCTGCAAAGGCTGCTTCTCCACTTGGGGGTTCTCAAAATGAGATTCTAGACTTTATTTCTCTTCTTTTATAGATTCTTTTGTATTTGTTGGTCAGCCCAACACCTGCCAGACCATCTTTCAGCTTCGAAAACACCTTTGTAACATGAATCATGTTAGACTTACTTGGAACTCTGGTTTTTTTGGAGTCACCAAAACTTTGCCCCTATCAATCCAAGCATTCTCCCTCCTGCAACCCAAATCAACTCCCAGTCTTCCAATAATCACTTCAAAAGTTGAAGAAACAGTGTCATTCCCTATCTCAGCACCATGAAGCAGGTCCTTGAACAGCTTCTCCTCCTATTTCGCTTCCCTCTTTGTTGTCTCCTTCCTTTTCCCTGTTCTTAATCTCTTTGTTTTGCAAACATAAAAGAGAATGGATGGGTGAAATAGGGAAATAATTGTCTATCTTTGTACTTTTGTGTGTGTGTGAGAGACAGAGGACCCTTGATTATTTGATGTGGTTCCAGAAGACCATCAATTTGAAGGAGAATTTAAAGAACTCAATCATTTCTCTTTTATTTTATACATTACACTATTTACCATAACCCACATTAACACTTCAATAAACATGACTGATGCAACTGTAATGACACCCTCAAATGACCAGTCAATCTCAGATAGGTTAACAGGACTGCTAACCAGGTCACTCACCAAATTGCAGGTTTTATCTTGCACTCGAGAGGTGGTACACTTTCTCTGCACATGGTCCTCCTTGGCTGGAAAATTTATTTCCCAAAAAATAAGACCAGTCATTCAGTAACCGTGATATAAATAACACCGCTATCAAGTAGATCATTTTTTTCCAGACATGTTTGTTCAAAGTCATGTGAAATAAATATAACAGTTAGATAAACTTCAGTTACATAGTTGGTAAGTCTCAGGCTAATGATCAAATCAAAATACTCCCAATCATTGGTTGATGACCAGAAGCCTTTCCTAAGCACCACGATAAAGAATGGGTCCAAATAGCAAGAATTACCTCAATTCTACAAACTTAAAGAAAGCTACAGAAAATAGGATCTAAACAAAGAAAAATAAGATGAAAGGAAAATATATGAAAAGAGGTGAAACATGGATAGAGTCTTGCAAGTTGCAACCCTATTCTGACTGCTCAATCAGCATTTCACTGACCCAAGGAACAAAATAAAATGAAGGGAAAAGATGCTTACTGGGTTATCTTTATATGGAAATACATAAATTTCAAGCACTTGTATGACTCCTCAAAGAACACCTATAATACCATTAAACTCAAAAGTGACAAACTGGGGTGGTCGAATTGGTTAGGATTGCAAATGTGTCAATTCAATTACTTAGGTTGAAGATCAGCCTTGGATAGGGCTAGGATTAGGTATAGACAAGGTTTAAAACATCGATATAGGGCGTATCGGCCTGCATCGAAGTCCGCTCTCCCTTTTTTTTCTTTGAAACTGGTTCAGAGGGGTCGGTCTAAGGGTGGTCTACCTTCTGAACCAGGTCACACCCCGATACGACCCCTGTAGGGGCATATCATTAAGCCAACAATACAATACGATACGCCCGATACGGGGCATTTCATATCAAAACTTTGAACCTTGGGTATAGATTAATGGTTTGCCCGGGATTAGGATAGGACTGACTTCAATCAGCCAAAGGTACAACACTGCAAACATAAGAATAGAAAGTTCCTGACAAATAACCTTCACAATGTGAAGAAAACTAGTTTACTAGTATTCATGCTTCTTGTATTAGCCTTTGATCCATAAATAGTGCCGTCTATTGGATAAAATGATAGTCGATACATCCTTGCATGTCTTTTTTGTTCTTTTGTGTAAGTTTAAAAAACCCACTTTTTAATTCTTTTTGTATTACATGATGAAAGTAAAAAACAGGCACACGTGGAAGCAGAAGTGAAGGAAGATAGAAATTAAACAGAAAGAACATCGTAATCTAAGTAATTGTTTGAAAAACGCAAGTCATCATGAAATTTTCCGCAAATCCAATTCACCAACAATTTAGCATCTTTGCCAACACAGAAGCCATGAACGAATTTATCAAACACCAATCCTACAAAAGAAAAAAGCCCCGCCTCATCTATCCAAAGAAGTAAGCAATATCCAAGACAAAGGATAAACAGTTCTCTTTTCCCAACAAATTTATATACTACCAGCTCTATACATCACTTGACAGATGATGATATATAATCTACATAGCCCAACCTTCTTCCCTACACGTGGAATTTAATTCTACTAAAATCCGCGGATACTAAGAAAACATCCAAACCAAAACCAACAAAAAATTTCTCACTTCTCCGATCAAAGTCCAAACTAGTAACCACACACTGAGAAAAGAAGAATTAGAACAAGAAAAAATAACCTAAACGCAAGAAAATGAACAAAAATATCGAAAAGAATCTTGCAATAAAACATAGAACATGATTTCTGAACCTTAGATAATAGAAACAGAGAGAAAAATAACCTTCCAACGCATTCCCTGAGAATCTCTTCGGTCTTCTCGCACTTCCTGATAAACTTCCCGGGCTCGACCTCTTCCGTCTTGCATTGCTTCTTGACGATCCTTCTCGTAGAACAACGATCTCCCGACCCAGAGCTAGGGTTTTCAATTTCGCCGAAGCCGCCAAATCTAGACGGCGAACCGTTGTTCGTCTCGTCTTTCCAAACCCAACCCATTTTTGCTTCTTCCGCACTCCATGAACTAGTTTCCCCGCCTTATAAGAGCTGGTGCTAACTCGTCAACTTGCCACGTGTCAAAAGAGTAATAACAATAAATTTATCCCACCAATAAAACTTGTCCACGTGTTCAACCGCCATTGTAATTCCCTTTGGCAACGGGCCAACGGCTAAACAGATCTCTTGAATTGGGGTTTGGATCTGCTACCCAAAAGACGTTACAGTTACGCATTGGGAATATCTTGGAAATTTTCCTAATTCACGGTGCTGTGGGTAAGGATGTAAGAATAACTTGTGAGTAGCAGATTCCGAGTGACCGCGCACTGGTTTCACAGCCTCATCCCATTGTATATTGGGAACATCTCTCGTAAATAACAATACAAAAACCAAGACATCTTGGATAAAAAGCCCCTAAACTTTTACGATTGGGACAAAACTCCCTTCCCTAACCTTTCATTCGTTAATTTCAAAAGAGAATTTCATTTTGTTATTTACTGCCCTTTTATTTTTTCATTGGATCATTTTACCCTTTCACTTATACTTTAATAAACCCAACAGTTATTGAAAATAATTCTCCTTTTCTTTTTTAATGTAGTGGGGATCAGTTACAAGCATGTTTATGGAGAAGCAAATCAGGCTGCGAATTGACTAGCTCACCATGCTCATGAAGTGCAGTTGCCAATGCAAATGATTTGAGTGTAAATTCTAACCTATTTTTGTTTTAAATTTTAGCTTATTTTGTTTGATTGCACTACAAACCCAAAATAAAATTAAACAAGAATATGCATTTTTTACATTTACACTCTCATGCATTTATACTAGTGCAACTAAATTTGTACTGCAACCAAACACAACCTAACCAATTTCTTCTGTTCCGATGAATCCATATTGGTACTCACATGGTTCAAAATAGCTGGCATGGCATACGTCTATAGGTTTAACAAGTTTAACAATGTTAAGCCTGCACTCAGTCATTGATTTTGTGTTGTTTGGAAATCATGTTATTTTGTGGATATATTTGCATTATTTATCTTGTTTAATTTACATTCATCTGTTCTTGTTCAAAAATAGCATTCTAGTTTGGCACAATAGATAGTCATTTAACGGGGTAGGGTTCACAAAGTATAACTGACAACAACGCATAATGCCACAATAATGGTGAACTAAAGCAACAATGACACATTAACCAAGGGTGTTCACGGTCTCGTTTAGTTCAATTTGGGGCCCTTCTCGGGCTAGTCGTAGGCCAGCTAGCTCACCCGTTAACCGACAATTGTGTGGAGTTTTACGACCGCCCTTAGGCTTTAGTAGGCAGGGGTGACCTTTCTCCATGTTTAGGCTCATCCGTGGTCAATTGAGTCGTGTAGCTTAATCGGCGATGTGCTGCCGATCAGGGCGTTATGGGCTCAGCCGTTCTAGGGTCGGTGGAGTTGACTTGGTCGATATTGCGGCTTGATGTGTGCATGTGTGGTGTGTGCGGTGGGCGTGTGTGTGCTTGTAGGTTGGGGCTGTAGCTTGAGAAAAGGGGTCTTTATTGCTTGTAGATTTATTGGTAATACATCCTGAGATTTCTGAGTTCTAGCTCCTTGGTATCGGTCGACCTTCGAGATCTTCAAATCTATAAGTGCTCAGCTTGAGGACCCTGGTGACTCTATACAGCCCTTCCCAGTCGGTCCGAGCTTGCCTTCTCCTAGTGCAAGGACTATGACTCTACGTAGGACAAAGTCGCCTATCTTGAATTCGCATCTTCTGACCTTGGAATCGTAATGCCTTGCCATCCTCTGCTGTTGTGCGACTATCTTTACATGTACTTGGTCCCGGGCTTTCTCTACTAGGTCCAACTCCGTGCGTAGATCTTCGTCATTCTGCCCCTCATTGAATAGTTTGGTCCGAAGGGTTGGGGAACCTATCTCCACGGGGACCATGGCCTCGGCCCCGTAGGTCAAGCTAAAAGGGGTCTTTCCGGTGGCAGTTCGTGGGGTTGTCCTGTATGCCTAGAGAATGCTTGGCATCTCCTCAACCCACCTTCCCTTGGCTTGATCTAGGCGTATTTTCAGGCCGTGTAGTAGGGTGTGGTTGTTTACTTTGGCATGTCCATTACTCTGGGGTCGGTGCACCGTAGTAGTCCGATGATCAATCCTTAGGTCGGCATAGAGGGCCTCGAACCTCTTGTCGGTAAACTGTGTTCCATTGTCTGTGATGAGCACGCACAGAATACCGAAGTTGCAGACAATTCCCTGCCAGAAAAAATTCTGAGCATTATGGTGATGCGTGCCAGAGCTTCAACTTCCACCCACTTCATGAAACAGTCCACTACTACGAGAATGAACTTCTTTTGTGCAACTGCGGTGGGAAAGGGGTCAAGGATGTCCATTCCCCATTGGGCGAACAACCATGGGCTGGTGATCGGCTTTAGAGGGGTTGTAGGCCGGTGATGGAGATTGGAGTGACGCTGGCAACTGTTGCACTTTTGAATTAACTGGGCGGCATCCTGCTTCATTGTCAGTTGGAAGTAGCCCTACTGGAGTGCCTTATGGGCTAATGTGCATGCACCAGGGTGATCTCCGCAAATACCCTCATGTATCTCCCTGAGGATGTAGTCTACTTTGGCTGGGGGGAGACACTTCAGGTATGGAAGAGTGTGGGAACGGTGATAGAGTTTACCCTATATTAGGCAATACTGGGCTGCTCTGTGTTGGAGCTTCTTCGCCTCTGCTCGATCTTCTGGGAGAGTGCCCTCTCGAAGATACTAGGTTATCGGGTCCATCCAAGATGGGTCGTGCTGCACTGGGAGGACGAGGAGGGTCGTTGGTGCGATGCTCGGCTGGGCTAGCGTACCTAGCCGAACAGCTGAGTCAAGGTCGGTCTGTGGCAAGCTAGCCAACCTTGAAAGGGCATTGGCTCGGGGGATCTGTTGAATTTTGAAATGTTTGAGTTGTTGAATGAGCTCTTGCACTTTTTGTAGATAGCTCACCATAGAGGGGGTCTGAGCCTCAAACTAGTCGTGGGTTTGGTTGACCACAAGCTGTGAGTCACTGAAGGCCTCGATTCTTCGGGCCCCGAGGTCCAAGGCAAGGTAGAGCCTAGCAATCAAAGCCCCATACTCGGCCTCGTTCTCAGAGGGGATGCCTTGAACTCATCCTCTGCGCTACTGAGGACTTTGCTGGTGTAGTAGATCGGCCTCTGTACCCGGTTTTCTTCTTTAATTAGTATTGTGCTAATGACCTCATCTCCCTCCGAGAGGTAGAGCAATAGCTCATCTCCTGGGTTCGGCTTAGTCAGAAGGGGCGGAGCCAACCCCATGAACCCCAAGAACTTGCCAGAGCCAACCCCGAAAGTGCACTTGGTTAGGTTTAACTTCATCTTGTATTTTCTGAGTGTGTCAAAGACTTCGCAAAGGTCGACCAGGTGATGTTCGACCTTTTTTCTCTTCACGAGCATATCATCGACATATGCTTCTACATTCCGGCCGAACTACTCTTTGAATACCTCATTCACTAGCCGCTGATAAGTGGCGCCGGCATTTTTGAGGACGAAGGGCATTACCTTGTAGCAGTACAGGCCACGGTCGGTGATAAAAGTTGTTCGCTCCTGGTCGTTTGGGTGCATCCGGATTTGGTTGTAGCCTGAGAAGGCATTCGTGAAGCTTAGTAGCTCATGCCCCGTTGTTGCATTGACAAGTTGGTCGATCCTTGGCAGGGGAAGCTATCTTTGGGACAGACCTTATTCAAGTTAGTGAAGTCGATGCAGATTCTCCACTTTTTGTTGGCCTTCACCATTACTACGTTGCCCAACCAATCGGGGTACTTGACTTCCTGAATGAAGTTGGTGTCGAGAAGCTTCTGTACTTCATTAGTGATCACTTGCCATTGCTCTGTGGTGAAGTTCCTCTTCTTCTGCTTCATAGGTCGGTAACAGGAGTCGACGTTCAGCCGATGCGTGATAACTTCGGGGTTGATCCCGGGCATGACCGCTACCGACCAAGCGAATACGTTGACATTTTTCCTCAGTAGTTGCACAAGTTCTTCTCGGAGATGGTCGTCTAGTAGGGAGCCGATCTGGACTGTCTTTTCAGGATCTTCTTCGTAGAGGGGGATCTGGACGAAGTCTTTCACGGGCTGGCTGTGTTGTGCCTTCACCTCGTCACGTAGGTCATAAGCCTCCACCATTAGCGTCTCAGCGGTTGGACGTGGTCCTCGACAGGAGAGCTGATAACAGTTTCGCACTGTTCTTTGGTCTCTGTGTGCCACTCCTATGCCATATTTGGTTGGAATTTTCATGGCGAGGTGGTATGTCAAGACTACGGCCTGCAAGGCGTTGTAGGAGGAAGGGCAACGCACCACGATGAAGTCTATCATAGTCATCGTAGTGACATCGCCGTCTCTGATTAGGAGGAGAAGAGTTATTCTCCCAGTGGGCTGGTGGGACTCTCCCGAAAATCCCATCAAGGGAGTGATGGCTGGTGTTATCCATTCTCTATTGATGCCAAGCTTTTCGAATGCATCTTCGAACAATACGTCAGTAGAGCTTCCTGTGTCGGCTAGGATCCGCCACAACTCGAAGTTGGCCACTTCGGCCGTGATGACCAAGGCGTCATCGTGCAGTGTCTGGACCCCTCGGAGGTCGTCATTAGTGAAGGTGATAGATGTGTCGTGCCTCTTCCCGTGACCTCAGTCATCGAACTCGCACCGTCGAGCATATCTTTTCCAACCCGAGCTGCTTTCCCCTCCGACGGCAGCTCCTCCTGATATGACGTGGATGATGCCGGTTGGGGGGCCTCGGGGCGGCGGTTGTTGAGCTTCATCCGCCCTTCGTTCCTCTTGAATTAATTTCTCACTTCTGTCTATGAAGCCATTGAGATAACCGCGCCTAATCAGGTCTTCAATATGGTTGCGCAGATCGAAACAGTTCCACGTGTTGTGGCCATGGTCCTTGTGGAACTCGTAGTATTTGTCTCGGTTCCTCTTGTTACTTTGCGTCTTCATCTTCTCAGGCCACCTGACATAGTTGCGGTCAT